GTTGGTGAGAGTGTAGACTGGTGCAACCACTATGGAAATCAGTGTGGAGATTCCTCAAAATATTAAAACTAAAGCTATTCCACCCAGCTATTCCCCTTCTGGGTATCTTCCAGAATTAAAAACACAGCAATAAATGTGCATTTATGCTTATAGCAGCACAATTTGTAATAGTTAGATCTTGGAAACAACCTAAATGCCCATCAACTGAAGAATGGATAAAAAAGATGTGGTACTTTTGTACAATGGAATACTATTCAGCCATAAAGAAGAATAAACTGAAGACTTTTATAGATAAATGGATGCAAATTGAGACCATACTCATAAGTGAAATAAATCAAACATGTGTGTGTAAATATCATGTAGTCTGACTAGTGTGAGAAGCTGAAATAAATAAATATACATATATATATAGAGAGAGAGAGAGAAGAGTTAAGATAGTCTTATTATTGATTTCTCAGATGTCATTGAAAAAATTTTGTCCTGATACTGTTTGGACAATTGAATGCAGATGTCTTGTGCTCTGGGTAAATGATTTGAGGAGGACAATGCACAGGGTATGTACCATTGTTGACCCTTGATGGACATATTTTGAAATTTGAAATTTGTTTTCTCTCTCTCTCTCTCTCTCTCTCTCTCTGTCTCTCTCTCTCTCTCTCTCTCTCTCTGTCTCTGTCTCTCTCTCTCTCTGAAATAAAATCAATTTGGAAAAAAAAACAACATGAGGTTCAATTTTTACTCTGGGAGTTCTGTTGCTAGGCCAGGTCCATCAATATAATAAAATCTCCCTCCAATTTATATAGAATTTTTAAATATGATGTCAGCAGTCCACACTGTGGAATATTTTCAATGAATTCTTTTACCTCAAATAAGTTCTACCCTTTGGTTCTGCCTTACCAACATATTTAATTCATGATTTGTCCTTATAGAAACCATTTAAAATTTCAAAACTAGCTTAGCTTCCAAAAGTATTCTGTAGTGTGTAACAGGTACCTCTGACACGCCCAACAGGAGTCATAATTTCATAGAAGTGGAGTTTTCCAAGGAGAAAAAATGATGTAAGCAAAACAGGATGAAAGGAGTGGAGTTCCTTACAAAGATAAAGTGCCAATTTTTATTCCAGAAAAGTAAAGAAGATGGCTTTGTTTTGGTGCAAAAGACACAAATATCCTAGTTATAAAGCTAGTAGTAAGTATACACATCATTTATATGTAAGGAAACTCAGTAGCAAAATGATTGCACACCTAGCTATTGTGTAACCAGCTCAAATGACGTAACTAGTGGCAGAGCTGGGATCTTGCCCAGATTATCAACCCTAACTCATACTCCATCTCACAAGATCACAATTATTAGGGCTTCAATCACATTCCACTAGAGAATTAGAAAAAAGGGAATAAAAATATAGAATTTTAAAGCATACTTTTATAAATAATGGAAGATTATGCATCATTTAGTTTTAAAGTTTATCTGTAATATCAAAGAACCAGCCAGAATTGGAATAGTTTTTATGAATTTTAGACTTCACCGAGGGAGCCAAACATGATATTTATTAACATCCTTTTGGTTGGAAGAATGAGCTGGTTCATCTTCATCAAGGCATTTCAATCTGTGCCTAAAAATAATTTCCATTCAAAATAATTACCCACTGGCTCCCAGCTGCCTGAAATCCTGAATTTTTTGGGATTTGCTGTTCTCTTTCTCCACACTGAAGGTCTTAGACAAGCCTTTCCTTCTCAGTATGGTGATCAAGCTGCTGTAAAAATCTGTGAACTCACCTGTGCCCAGTGATGCTAAAACTATTACAGAAAAATAATCCTCACTTCCTTTCTCTAGATCTTCATTGCAAAATACATGAGGCTTCAACTGATTACTAACTCATGGCTTATTATCTCATAATCAAGGCTCAAATTTCCATCAATAGTTTACCCATTTTTTAAAGATAGTAAATTATGCTAAAATATATCTTACAAGGTCATAATTTTGAAGTTTGGATTCCAGCAGGTTAGAACTTAATTCCTGGCTCCATATATTTAGTCTTCTTTGCCAATTACTTAAAATACAACTCTTGGTGTCTTTATGTACATAATGAGATAAAATCTTTGCCTCTAGGATTATTAATGTCACATTGAAAGTAAAATACTTAATACATGGTCCAGCCATAGCACTCCATAGCATCTCTGTGTTGTTAATAGGGTTATGTACATGTATGATATTCACTGATGGTAAAAAAACTCTCATAAAATTTACAAAGATACATGAGAGAAACTTCTGTGAATTTTCTCCATGCCTTATATTTTTAAAAACTCCTTCGGAGCTCTTACATTAGAATCTTTAAACTATTTTAAGATAACTTCTAAATAGGAAAAACTTTCTGAATATTTATTTTCATCCTTTTCAATTTAAAAATAACTCCTTATGATAAGTTAAGGATGATTCAATCCATCTGCATGCATGAAAACTTCTTTTCAGGATCTTTTGAAGGCACCAAATTGAACAAAGCCGCATTAGTATTAAGTCAGATTTAAAGAAGAAAAAATGCACCATACACAAAACTAGAGATTGGGGGTAGCTGAGTAGGACATGTGTGAGGCTCTGGGTTCAAACCTCAGCACTGAAAAATAAATAAAAATAAACCTAGTCATAGTTTTTGCCAGCTTTGCGAAAGGAAAGAAAAAAAATTAGGTTAAAGGTGAAAAGAGGAAAGATTAAGTGTTTTTATGTCATAGGCTCCTCCAAATAAAATGTCTAAATGTCAGAGATACGTAAACGTTAACAATGGGTTATTACCATTCTGATTATGACACAGCAATGAGACAATTATTGTAAGACAGCAAAAATAACTGTAATTGAAATTTAACACAGAAAAATCTATGACTGCTAGGTGACACAGACCCAACTAATAGTCTGTGGCCCATACTCAAAACTAAGGGAAGGCACTAAGAGATGGACAAAGAGGGGAGAGAAAGGGGACTTAAAATAAAAGAACTAAGATGTGTTATGCATACGTATCAAGTCCTTTGAGTGAATGTCATCATTCTGTACTGCAAATGCACACCAATCACAAAATTGAAGGAAATACTAAACCATAACTAGAGGGTAATATCAAGAGATAGTTCCCACCCAAGTTTGCAGACTGTCCAGCCTGAATTCTGTCTTCTGAGCCCCGAGGACATGGTTTCAGAATCCAGCACTGAAGACATATATCAAGCCCAACTGTTATCTTAAGTATAAAATTGAATTGGAATATTGGCTCCCTTTTGATCTTTTTTTGATTGGTTTTGTTTTTTGTTGTTTGTTTTTGAGATAGAGTCTCACTTTGTAGTTCAGGCTGACCCTGAACTCACCATGTAGCCCAAGGTGGCCTTGAACTTTGCAACAATTCTCCCGCCTCAGCCTCCAAAATGCTGGGATTACAGGTGTGTGCTACTATGCTTGGCTTAAATCTGAGTTCTGACAGAAATTAATTTGTTGCATCACAACTAATAAAGTTAGGAAAAAATCATAGTATTTCTCGGTTCCTTGTGTGCAATATTCAAAGGTCAAGTGAATGGAAAAATTATTTTCATTTCCTTACAAAGCTTTTTTAAGTGAAAATTTTCTGCAATGTTAACAAAATTGTCCTTTTCCTGAATCTTATTTTCAAATTCACCCGATGTGTTTCCATGATAAAATCACTGTATTTTAAGGACTATGTAGCTGGGCATGGTGATGTGCACCTGTAATCCCCACACTCAGGAGGTTGAGGCAAGAGGGACACTGAGTCAGGGCTACTAAATGAGTTCAAGGCCAGCCTGAACTGCAAAGGGAAACTCATTTCAAAAAGACTTCCCCCCACAACTTAAGCCAACCAATCAGGATGAAGACACAATTTACGACTGTTTTACAATAGCAGATACCTTGTTCCAGTGTAATCAATCATTTTAAAGTTGAAACCACAAGAATGTATGAAATCAATGATGAAAATTATACTTAGGCAAGTTTTTTTTGATGAAATCTCTGTGCAGAATAATACAGAAGAAAAACTTCAGCACTCTATGATCTCCCCCTTGTGCCTAAACTTTGTATTGAACTCAGGATTAAGAGTCAATAACATGACACAGAAAAGGGAGGAGGGGAGGGAGGGGGCGGGAGGGGGCTTCCCCCAGGGCGTCTTCCCATGATAAGCAACTACTCAGTATTGAGAACGTGGGGCTAATCTAACACCAACACCATTCTCCAAATATTTAGAATGGTGAATTTTGTCTGAAGTGTTCATATTTCATGATTTGTCTGTTAAAAGGATCACTAGTCACTGTAAGAGGGCAATGAGAAACAACTGCTAACGGTAGCATGGTTTCTTTTAGGAGTAACAAAAATGTTCTGAAATTGGATTGTGGTGATGGGTACATGCCTTCTAAGTATACTACAATACTGCTCCATAACCGGGATGAACTGCGGGTAGCTGACCCTCCCCAAATGTTTCCACACGTCCCATTCCACTGGCTTCCCTTCCCATGGTGCCACTTTCCTCTCTTGTGCTAGTTTGCTTCTTTGGTCTCTTTCTTGTGGGTGGCTGGACAGGACACTGCTTCCTCATTTGCCATGTCAGGATCTTAATAAACTATACACTAAGAATAGAAAATAGTGCTTTAGAAAATGTGATATACAATGGCTAACACTGTTGCTGTTCAGTCAATCCAAATACAAAACTGTTCTCAATTACATCAGGTGATTACATATAATTCTAAAATGTTAAACATTTTAGTAACTTAATGTTTAAAACACACCAAAAAATATATATACACATGTATATGAGTAAACTCAAAATGTACAACTTCATATATTTTTACAAAAAACTTCTAAGCACTTTGCAAACCACAGACTGTAACTCCATTTATGACTTACACCATTTCACAGCTACCTGGGGTGCCATTTATAATGCACACTCGGGGGTTTTTATTATACAGATCTCATCCTGAGTCTTCCCTTCGTAATTTTTCCCCATTAAAAAATAAAGCCATGAAGATTTTTTGGCACATTTTATTATTCCAGTGCAAGAAAACATTTCCAGGTTTATTACAGATGTCATTTCCAAAACCAACCAGTTTGTAGTTAGTATTTGTGATGACGGCCCATACAGCACGTAACATAAAAAAAGAACAGTGGTACCCAATGCAACGCATAGGAATCTTTTCTACAGAAAGCATTTTTCTAAAACTGCAAACTAAAAATCTGTTCATTTAAACCACTTATGTGGTAAAATTATAATTTCATTTGATTATGGATATCATAAACAATGCAAAAGATGCTATATTTTTTAAATATTGTTTGTTTCACTGTGTTCAATTTTCTGTTTCTCAATATCCATTTTATAGGCCAACCAAAATACAAATGCATATAAATAAAAGTCTGTTGTGCCAAAATCACACACAACAGAAGTTATAATTGACTTATGAGGTAACTTTTCCTTTTATGTATTCAAGCATCACATTTATAAGAATGCGTCTCTTGCCGGTCATGGTGGCACGCGCCTGTAATCCTGGCACTAGGCAGGCTGAGGCAGGAGGATTGCTACGAGTTCGACGCCAGACTGAACTACAAAATGAGCTGTAGGCCAGCCTGAATGGCATAGTGAGACACTGTCTCAAAAAGATAAAAAACAAAAACAAGAATGCATGTCTTTTAGAGGCAATAAAATGCATATTTTCACTAAGCCATTATTTCAAGAGCCTGAAATGAAGTTAGATAAAATTCCATGCTTCCTAGCATATTAAATACCATGCAGTGTACTATTTAAAAAAACAGCATTAACTAACTTAAAAAGCTGAATTCACTTAGTTTGCTTTCTTGCCAATTAAAAATAAGTTCATCGAAACCTTTGAAATTATGTATTTAACGTGGGATAGATACTAAAATGCTAACCTAAGTGTAAACATCCATAATAACTTAAACAGTATCTCTTTCCAAAACATTGTAGTGGGACAAAAAGTTCTGAGGAAAGGCCACCTAGAGTGTATGCAAATGAGCCAGGAGAAGCTAAGCTTTTCAGACCCAAAGCAGTGTAGTTCAGACTCAGTCCACACACTGCTTATCTGGGGAAAAAGCGCTTCTCAAATCCTTCTCACTACTGAGGTTTCTGAAGCCAAGTCAGAGTGGGCCATCAAACTGAAATATGCCGTACTTTCCAGTGGTCAGCCAGTTGGGCTCCAAAGCCGTGAGCTGCTCCCCTCGCCCAGGCTGCAGGCCCACCTGAACCTCAGCTTTCAATGTTCTTATGCTGCACAGAGGTGCAGGATGGAAGCCACGCAGAGCCTGATGGAACGGAACAGTGAAGTCCCACTTTCTGTCCCCTGTCAACTTCCTGTAATTCAAATCACCCTTGAATAAAATTAAACATGCCTTTTGTAGCTCAGCATATAAATCAGGGGCAACTTGGGACATTGCACTGTAGTCATGAGGCAGAGTCCAAAATATGTGATCACGGTAAACCCACCGACCCACTTTTATGTAGTTTTCCCAGCCAACTCCACACTTGGACATCCACTTATGATTACACTGTTTCATCTGCTCAATTACCCAATTAAAGTCACGAATAGTAGTATCTGAAACAAACCACGGAATAGTTTTCCCATAAAAATGAATTTCAGTTGCCAATTTAGAGGACAGTAAGAAGTCAGCTAATACTAAATCTGTAACAAGTTCAAACCCAGAATTATCCAGAATAATATACACTCTATCTACGGAGGCTTCTTCCCTTGTTTTCTTGCATTTACTAAGCAACGACCAAAGATGTTCCATGTCATTCACTAAAATGAAAGGTTTTAGATCTTCCAAAGAATCCATCACACTGGTCTTCTGAGAACTACTTTCTCCACCTGATAAAGACAGATCACATTTATTTCCCCAGAGTGAAACCTGAAAAGGAAAAGAACAAAACAGTCATCATTTTGAATAACCCACAAACCTCGTATGATGTAAGGAGTAAAGGGAGGGGTTGCTTAAAATAATGATTATATTTATTGGCAAAAAGAAAATGTCTACCAAGTCTATTTTCTCTAATAATGTAATACACTTTCACAATGCTCTACTCTTAGGTAAAACGCTGACATTTCTAATCAATATGTAATAGATTTTTTTTTTAAATGACTGGAATGATTTTAGCCCCCATATTGTCTACTCAGAAGGGACATTTTTCATCACACATATATGAAAACATCAGCAGGGCCGGGAATATAACTCAGCGCACGAGTGCCCGCCTGGCAAGCACAAAGTCCTGAGTTCAACTCCTGGTACCAAAACAAAACAAAAAACCACATGATCAGATGCTGTAAAGAGGCTCAGATTCACTTGGGAGCCAAGGAAAAAATAAACATTTCCTTTTCTTTTCCCCAAACTGCCTGGTTTCTTTCACTTACTATAAAACTTTCAGGACATGGCATCCTGTCTGAGGTTGTAAAATAAAGAAACTGGACACAGTGGTATCTCAAGGCCTAACTCTAAACAAGGTGATGGCAATAGCAGGCACGGTGTAATCAATTATTAGTTGGCTCTAAATTGAAATAATACTCCATTATTTTGTTAAAAACAAACAAACAAAAAGAATATCAGCCCTATTTTTTTAATTATAAAATTACAGTGGGGGGTGATAACACACACCTGTAATCCCAGCACTCAGGACGCGGAGGCAAGAGGATCACTGTGAGTTTGAGGCCAGCGTGGACTACATAGTAAGTTCGAGGCCAGCCTAAACTACATAGTAGACACTGTCTCACAAAACAAAACCACAACAACAGGGGCTGGGGATTTAGCTCAGCGGCATGAGCGCCTGCTTTGTAAGCAAGCAGTCGTGAGTTCGATCCCTGGTACCGATAAAAATGAAAAAGACCAAAAAAAAAAAAAAAAAAAACAACAACAGCAGCAGCGACAAAATTACATGTGAAGGAGTATAGGCTCCGGAGTCAAGGCCCGCATTCAAGTCCCAGTATCTTCAATGAATGGTCACTGAAAAATTACTTAAGATCGCTAAGGCTCAGGTTCTACAAACAAAAGCCAAAATACTAATAATTTACTTAGAGTTACTATCAGAACTGACATAATGCATCAAATATTTGGCATATATAAATATTCAGTAAGTGTTAGTCAAAAGAGACTCTACTCTCCTTCATGATTTAAAATGAGGAAAACAGCCAGGACTGGTGTCTTAGTCTCAGCTGCTAGGCAGGTGGAGGCAAGATGCATGGGCCCAGAGTTCAAGGTCAGCCCAGGGAACAAAGAGACCCAGTCTCAGGAAAAAAAAAAAGTAATAAATTATATTTAAACATAAGATGAGGAAAATAGGTATTTTAACCAAGAATAATGGTTTTAAAAGATAAATTAATGATTTTTTTAAAAACTACAAGGTTTACATAATAACTAAAGGGTCCAAGACTTTATGTTTCTAAAAGTTTTTGAAGAATCACTCACAACAGCACATATGACAGCATTCAGCAACCGAGCTCAGGTTCTCCGCTGGCCTCCTGCACATCTCCTTATATCACCTCCAAGTTCTCAAGTATATAGTTATAGTGCAATTGTTTGACTATCTATATTCCTTCAAGATTACACTTTCTATGACAGCAAGGATCAGCCTGTTTCTCCCATCATCAAGTGCCCAGCATTTATGTTGAACATAAATAGGTCCAAAAGTATTTGTGTGGACAGAAATAGAGTGCTACAACTTTTGAAAACAGATAAACATTCTCCACAAACTGAAAACCTTCAGGCTTTTCTAAAGACATTCACCTTTTGCTCACTGCATGTAGTAAGAGAAGCAACTGTGGGCTCCTCCACTTGGGAGCAGAATGACAGTGGGGGCGGGGGAGAGCTGATCAAATAACGTGACAGAAAATAGATTGTACCCTTCTTCTTTACAACTGAACATACTTATGGGACAAAGAACATATTCAAAAATGACTGCTCCTTGAACAAATGGGCTAGCTAGGAGCCACGGGCTGGTATGCTACTTTTTTTTCTTTTGTATTTCTGAATTACACATAAAATGTAGTTCATAGGGGTTAAAAACAACAACAACACAAAATACTAGTTCAAATAACTAATACAGTACATTTTTTTTGTCTTTTTCATTTTTATCGGTACCAGGGATCGAACTCACGACCGCCTGCTTGAATACAGTACATTATTAATTAGTAAATATTACTAATTTACCAGTATGTATAAAACTGAGTACAAAGACATTCAAATGATCTGATCTTTACCTGCAGAAGTTTAAAAAACTCATTTTTCAGCTGATTTTCATCTAGGTCTTCAATAGTTCTTAGCAACTCTTGCAAGTGAGTGCATAACGCAATGATAGATTCCTGTGACTCAAAGAAATTTTGGTCTTTGGATTCTTTAAATACATCAAAGTCATTGATTGGTGGACTAAAATAAGAGAAAAACATAAGTAAAATACACACATATGTCTGGATCTTTTAAAAATACGTATCAGTTATATGCATACAGATAGAAGACACAGAAATAGATCAGGTGAGTAACTGCAGTTCTTTAATAAAAGAGCAGCACCAGAAGTCACAATAATTAGTGGTAACAGATACCACACAGAGCACAGATTATCAAATTACACAAAAGTAAATCCCAACTCATTTTTATTAATTGTCAACTATTTTACTAGAAGTAGTAAGTAATTCTAGTGATTATGTCCATAATTATTTACCCAGAAGAGATTCCAAGGCAAATGGAGAAAAATTAGCAAAATTTTAAAATAATTGCTTTACTTTGACAAACATTTTTTGAATATCAATGTGGCACAGCTCCTAACAAATATATGTATGTAAACCGAACACTTGACCATAATGTAATAATCACCAAAGGTCAAACCCAGAGTATTGTGGTACTACAATGAGTACTTGAAATAAATCTGACTTATAATTTAGGATGACAAATTCTGATCATTTTTTTGTTGTTAAATTTTACATTCATGTTTATTTTTGCCAAAGGTGAGCGTCTGTGCCATGGCTACAACTCCATGCTGTCCAGTGAAGAATATGACAAAGAAGATGTAAATACTAACTAACACAACAGCCTTTACAGAACTGGGTAAGGTCTGATGTTCTAAATCATCCACTTTCCCCCATAAGAAAACCTATGTAAGACTGCTGTAGTAGAATTGTTTCTTTTTAAAAACATACCAGCCTTTACACATCCAAATGATGGCTGCTTCCTTCTGGCCAGTCAGTCCCATGGGGAGCTACACCTTTATTCCTAGGATGGATGCTGCCATTACTTAAAGCACTTTTGGAATCCTCTTTCGGAATTTTCTTCAGAATCTGTGGTATATTATTGAACATCGTGTCAGTGACCACCTGTTTTCATGGTTTACTTTTGGAAACAGCCAAAAGTCACTCAAAGCAATTTCAGTTGAAAAAAGTATGTAATCAAATTAATAAAAACATTTTTTGTTAAAAAGGAGTGACTAAAAAATAATGAAACTTAATTTTCATAGCTTATCAACTAGCTCTGAAAGAAATTCCAAAGAATTCAAAGGTATTTTTTAGCAATGACAGCATTGCTGAAACCAGTCCATCTCTCAAGGTGCTTTAAAAGAATAAAAGTCATTTGGATGCATGGGTTCAAATTTAGGGTCGACAAATGGCAGCCAAACATCTGTTTTGTAGACTCACAAACTAAGAATACTTTTTACATATCTGAAAAGTTAAAAAACAAAGCAAAAGGAAAGCAGTATTTTGTGACACGTGCAATTCACATTTCACTGTCTACAAGGGAAGTGTTCCTGGACGCAGCCGCGCTCCTTCATCTACAGGATGTCGATGGTCTTCACACCACAGCAGCAAAGCTTGCAGCTGAGACAGAGATCATATGGCCCATCAACCCTAAAAGTTCATCATCTGGCCCTGGAAATGTTTGATAACACATGTTCTTATGTTTCATTAACAGATCAATCATTAGTTTAAAGTCACACCTCATGTTAAGAGTCTTAATTGTATTTAAAAGAATAAGCTTTACATGAATATAGACAATGTGTAGGTATATTATTTATATTTGAAACATACATATAAAAAATTTCTCAACTTTAAAGTGTTTGCTACTTTAGAATCCCCCCTAACTGCATATGTGCATTTCCTATGAGTCAGGGATTCACACCTAGATATATTTCCAACAGAAAGACACATACTTGCTAACAATGTGTTTAAATATTTATAGCATCATTAACAGTCCAATCTGGAAGTTCCTCAAATGTACACTGCAATAGGATAAATGCAGTAACCGCCACACAGCTAGTTTTTAACAAATGACACCTCCTGCCAGCTTCCGCTGAGGGTCTTCCACACCAGATTTGTAAGACTGTGTTTTGCCTTTAGAACAGTTCTCAAACACTCCTACTGGGCAAAAAACTATAAACTATGATTAAAAATAATTTATAAACATTAAGACAGTAACTTCCAGGAAAATGGTGGAGTGCTGAGCAGCAGAGAAAGAACATCTCCAAGTTTTGATGTCCAGACCCTGGACTGTAGTAACATGAGGAAGATAAGCAGGAGAGGTGGATCCCACAGACACAGGAAGAATCCGAAGTGAGACTTGAACCCCACAGAGAGAGAATTCAGAAATCCAGCAAACATAAGAAAACCAGGGGAAGCAACCCTGCTGGATGGGGAGAAGCAGCAAGGAAGCCTCCTCTGCCTCCCGCACCCTCTGCCTCCCGCCCCACTCCTCACCTTTAAGCAACTGTAAGCAACACAGGGTGAGATGACAATAACTGAAATCAGGAAACACCCTGACATTTACGTTGTTTGGTTGACTTGGCAGGCCTGGGGTCAGTAGTCTGAGCAGCTACTTAGTGGATCACATTATGATTGTGGATTTCCTACTGTCTTATCACTGTTTTGTTTTGTTTCACTTTACTGTTTTACTACCTTAAAAAATTTTTTTTGAAGATTAAGACACCAAAGCTAATATATTTCCTAAAATAATTTTATTTTACAATTAATGTTTACTCAATCAATTACACTATCCTATGCTATATTTAGGAATGGACACCTGATGGATTCCATTCCAAAGGGTACACAGCAAACCTATACTTCTGGAAACTGTGACCTAAATAGATAATCCACATTACTTTTTCTTTTGCATGATAAATCAGTTCTGTATCAGAATTCTCCTAGGAAAAATTAAATAGTATAAACCTGTTTTTGGAATATAGGTGTAACTTTTTCTAATTTAAATAAAATCAAAATAAAATAAAACAAACTACAGGACTAACAAGTCAGTGTGGGAGACAACAGAATGATTCACTTTTTTAATGGTTCCTTATAACAAATAAACTCTGATATGGTATTTCTAAATAAAGTGTGTGCTTATTTCGTACCATTTTGATTTTATGTATATATTTCAAATTGGCATTTTTCTTGCTCAGTAAGTATAACCTGTTTTATTTTACAAGTCTTTATAAGAACCTTTAATAAGCTCCTACTAGATACTCAACCTTAGGTCTATTGTAGGCAAGAAGATTATAACTGCTGAGAAGCTATTAAATTGATATCATTTGTGGAAATGTCCAACGGTGCCATTAGTATTTGCTGAACTCCACTGAATTTGGGCTCCCATTTATTTTCAAAATAATCCTTTTACAATTTCAAAAAAAAAGCATGAATTACCTGAACATTGCTATTTCACAGTTAAACACTTACCTCTGGATAACTGCTTCATGAAGCCTACGATACATGTAGCATTCCACAAACAACCACGGTGAGCGGAACCAACTTGGCTGTCCATCGCTTTCATTTAAAAGACTGCGCTGATACTGTAGATGCTGATTCCAAAGGTCGGTATCAGCACAATCCTCAACCAGGGGGACAACTGGCTTATCTGTCTGCAGTTCATTCCGTAATTTAGAAAGAAGAGAGATAGCTTTCTTTTCAGCTTCCACACCTTCCTGTAAAAGCAACAACAAAAAAATTGTGCATGTGTATGTGTGTGTTCTTCTATGATAACCCATTTTTATGGGCCTAAACTTAAGGTAAGAAATGTACCATATTTCAAAATTATAAAATTTTAAAAACTTGTGCACATTGTAGAATTCTTAAGTTGAAAATCAAAACACACAGAGCTCCTGTTAACACGATCATGCCTTATTTACCCGACTTTTCTGTCAAAGTCCTGGCCTTTCTGCATCTTCAGGTGGACTAACCACTACCACAGAGGGAAAAGAGCCATCTCCAGGTTTCCTGCATCTTTCATGCTTCCAAGTTGCTAATGGCACTACTAAAAAAAGAACTCTGGCCTCCTGAGGTTTTTCCAGGCAGCTCTGAGAGTCTTTTCTATTGTATTCCTTGTTCTGTATAAGTTCAAGGGGACAGAGAAATCCTGACAAACAAGCCACTACAGTGTTATCCCATGTAACAAGATAACTGGAGAAGGAACACAATGTTATGGAATCAGAATAAAGTAAGCAGGATGTGGTGACGCATGCCTGTAATTCCAGCACTCAAGGCCAGATCCTGTCTCCAAGAAAAGAATAAAGTGAAAATAATACAGTACCTAATCCTATATGATGAATGTTATCAATATGTATATCTAAAATGTACCAGTAAAATTCATTTTAAAAAAGAATATAGTACCTTTAGTTTTATACGATAGATTTTTGCCTCATTTAAAAAAGCAAGATATAAGGTATGACAGACTTAAAACACAATAAAAGAAATAATCAGGGGCTGGGGATTTAGCTCAGCGGCATAAGCACCTGCCTTGCAAGCACGCGGTTGTGAGTTCGATCCTTGGTACCGATAAAAATGAAAAAGACAAAAAAAAAAAAAAAAAAAGAAATAATCAATATCAAGTAACTATTTTTATAAAATCATTACCATGCTGATATTAAGGGAATTTTCTATTTTCAGATCTACAGTGCTCTCAATACAGTATCATTCCATCTTTTTTTTTTTTTTTGGTGGTAGAGGATCGAATCCAAGCCCTGTGCATGCGAGGCAAGTACTCTACCACTCAGTTACAGCCCAGCCCCCAGTATTTTTTCCAGATAGAATCTATTTTGCCACTGTAACTACACACTGAAGCTTTAGTGATTCTGCAGGTTCTGAAATAAAGAAATTGTAAAATTACAAAGGTTTAGGAGCTGAGCCTGAGTCCCAACATTTTCTAAAGAGGGAGCTCTCCCTCCAAGTCTCTGCCCAAAAGCCTTCAACTTCAGTTGATAAGCGGAAAAGTCTAACACCTGAGATTCCTTTATGGTTGTGAGCAATTTTTTTCTTTAAAGAGGCAAATGCCTACATAAGGGCTAGATCAGTGCTAGCTTGTTAACTTGCTTCAACTCAATTCAAACATTTCCCAAATTCCCTACATGCCAGACATTGCTCAGGGTCAGAGAAAGAATAAAATATGGCTCTGTTACCAAAGGATACACCTCTGCCAAACCCTGTCTCTAAAGGACTCACATCCCTTTAAACTAAAGTGACGGACCTTAGACTTCTGAGCCAACAAACTGCCCAGCATGGTCCTCCGGGGACAAGTGTGGCACTGCTGTAGCTGGGAGAAGCAGGCAGCCAAAGGAGGTGGCATAGGTATGTGAGGGCCATGAGAGGGTACACAGGAAGGCCACCAAGAGCAAAACTGACTTGTGTCAACGTCTTCTTAGGTCTTGCCCAATCTCAAGGAGAACATGAGACGGGGCAGGGCAGGCAGGACAGCAGACAGTTCAGGTTCGCTCTTAGCCAACATGGCCATCTGGTTATTAGGACACTCAGGCCAAGTATCAAGATACTAAGACTTCATTAATGACCACATTTTAGGTTGCTCCAGTCAAAACAATTGCAATCACTACAGAAATCATGTTAATCTGTTTAAGCATATGGCCAAACATTCAAGTGAACTACTCAAATCTGTCTAAACTATACTTGAGTGGTAAACATGTACATCCATCAAAATGAAACCATGGTCACATAAAAAACACTGGAAAGTCAGCAAAAATGTCAGCATCCAAGACCAGCTGGATCAAGGTAACCCTGTATTATGCCAGGATGAGCTTTAAAGACAATATAAGAGATTAAAAGAAATACATTACATAAATTGGGTATGGAGCACACGTGTAATCCCAACACTTGGGAGGCTAAGGCAAGAGGATTACTGTGAGTTTGAGGCCAGCCTGGGCTACACAGCAAGCCGAAGGACGCCTGAACCCCACAGTGAGAAAAGGAAAGGAAAAGGAAAAGGAAAAAAAAATTACAGCCTATGTGCTGTCTTGCTCCATTTCAATTTGGCCATAAAAAAGACCACCAACATTCTTCTAAATCTCTGTTGTCAACAGAACCAGGGGACTTCTACCTTGAGGTCACTTTCCCCTCCCCTATGCATCTTACCTGTGGCACAAAAAGAATCCCAATGAGGTGCTCCCATATCATCAATGCCACCTTTAAGTACCACCCCAGTCAAAAAATATAGGGTGTATGCATGTTACTAGACTTTCAAGTTTAAAGAGCTTGGCCTCCAACACTATAGTTATTTAAATTGCTCTTCATTCATTAACTAGTGTCCGTACTCTGAAAGCCAGTCTTTCAATCTTTAATCATATAATGTGTCAATCATAATTTATATCACCTTTCTCTTTTGAGTTTTGCATAACAGCCCTCAAATTAGTAACATAATTACTGAAACTCACCTAAATTTGAAATTAGAAGAGCTCTTCTGAGCACGTGAACAATTCAAGACACCATTTTTTTAACTCTGTGTATATGAGAAAATGTTATCAGGTCTAAGTAATTGATAGGCTAAATTGTTAGAACACAACTAAGCTTAGAGCCTGGCTGCTCCTCCCTGCTGCCCACATGGTCATCCTTCCTTTCGACAGTTCATTAAAACCACAGGGCCATGAAGTCATTCTCATGGTTTACACATAAGCTGAAACCTTCAAGAACCATTGATACTCTGTTGAAGAATTAATGAAAAAATGAAAATTAAAACACAAGTCTTACCTCTCCGTGTTTCTCAAAAAATTCACTTTTATGTCGATGCAATGTGTCGATAGCCCTAGTTAAGATCTGTGGTGTTCTGTCTTTCATTGTGAGATATGCAAATGATCTACAAAACAGAATTATATACAATATATTACTTAGTAATTTTAACCTTAGGCCTAAAATTCCTTTTCATGTAACCATGAAAAAGACCAGTTTTTTTCTACTATATTAAGACTTTAAAAAAATCTGACAGCTCTGCTGGGTCTTGGAAGTGAAGCAGCATCAGTGCCTCCAATCCCCGGAGTTTATTTAATCATTCTTTATCTTCTCCAGTCTACTCCTTTTCCTCAGTCAGAAACTAGTTCAACAATGTGATAGGCTAGAAAAAGGATTAGGCTCAGAATCAAACTGGCTGGCTGGTCCCAGGCCTACTACTCACTTCATTTGCTCAGAAAGGTGGAGACAGTGGTCGTTAAAAATGCTCTAAACACGCTATCCTTATGTCCATGTACCAACTCTCCGAGATGAATGCAATCGTGTACTACAAATATGTACTAATAAAAGAACAACAACAAAAAAGATTCTACTAATGTGCTTGAAAACCATAAGACTTTAAAATTTAGAGGAAGAGGGGTTACTGGGAATCAAACTCAGGACCTTGCATTTGCTAGTCAGGCACTTATACTGCTGAGCTATATCTCCAGCTCCAACTTTAAAATATTTATGGCATTTGTTATTCTCTATCTTCTCAACTATATTCTTAATCTTAACTCTTTTCAAAGATTTTTTTCACTGCCATTCTCTACTTGCCTTCTTATCCTACCCTGCCCATAGAAAATTAAGCTACTATTTTGCTCAGTCAGCTAAAAATCAAAAGTTTTTTTCAGAAATGCTAGCCAGGCAGGGTGGACCACAATTATTATCCCAGCAGCACTTGGGAGACTGAGGCAAGATTGCTGCTAATTCAAGATCATCCTGGGGCTACACAATGAGCTGAAGGTCTGACAACTGTATAGCAAGACCTGGTCTCAAGAAACTAAAAAAAAAAAAAAAAAAAAAAAGGGATATGTAAAAGAATAAAGCAAGCTAGAGATGAGGAAGGAAAAATTTATACTAGCATTAAAAATTCTAAAGATATTCATTTTAGACATAAAAAAAATCAAGATTAGGGCCAGGGGTTTAGCTCAATGGCGTAACTGCCTGCCTGGCAAGCATAAGGTCATGAGTTTAACCCCCCAGTTAAAAAAAAAAAATCAAGATTTACAGATGATCATTTGTATGAGATTTTTTAAAGGAAATATATGCAATTCTATTAGAAAAAAGCATTTATTAGGTGGTAAAATGCCAGGCAGCTTTTTTCAAATTTATTTTGTAATCAATACACAAACTTTTAACGCAGAACGTAGAGCCTAATGGATCTGTGCTTGTTATCTGCAGATCACCAGAGACAAAGTAAAAGCAAAAAAACTTCACGATAATGTTAAATCAATGCCTCTTCCAAAACACTTTAATTTGGGAGCATGACACTTCTAAATATTTGAGTATCACATTGTAGTTTTTAAATTACTGGACTGTATATTATTGCGTATTTCTCCAAAATAAGGCCTTGAGATGATATCTATAAAACTATAAGGGCATGGTGGTGCATGCCTGTAATCTCAGTGCTTAGGAAGCTGTGGCAGGAGGATCTTTGCAAATTCCGGATCAGCCTGGGCTACCAAAGTAAGCTCAAGGCCAGCCTGAACTGCATAATGAGATCCTGTCTCAAAAAAGATGGGAGAAAAAATTACTATAAGAAAACAAATTGCAAAAACACATTTGGACTCTGAGGCGTTGACCATCCTAATGCAATAATTAAGTTAATATGCCTAGTAATTTTTAAAAATCACTACTAATACTTTGGGAAAAGAGACATTAACTTAAACCAAATGATGGTTGAATTTTCTAAGGTACCAGACACAAAAAGAAGTGAGTCTTTCCTTGTGATTTTACATTAATTGACAAGTATTACTATTTTTTACTTCTTTCCTGGGTCAGATGCCTTCACCCAGAGAATAAGGTCCTGGCCGGGCTAGATTAAGGACAGCTGTTTCTAAAGTATCACTCCCCTCTTTTGTACTACCCTACGGGAGTATTCCAGTTTAAAGCCCGGGGCATCAAACTTTGATCTGACCTCAATCTACTTCCTGCCCAACTAGGGTGACTTTCTCCTAAGTATGTTCTGCAATATTTTAAAGAACTTACTTCAGTTACGAACTCGGCCATTCAGTTTATGCAAGTGCGCGTTTACATTATTTTTATCGTTATCCATAGCTTTGCCTGAAAAAAGTCAAAACCCACTATACTCCTTCCCGTCTTTTATCCTATTTCCTTTTCCCACGTGCAGTCAACTAGTCAAAAATACTTCAAATGGCAATTTCCAGAAATTGATTTTTAAATCATTTATAATACACTTATCACTGTTCTGGCTTATTTTCACGGCTCTTATGCCTCAGAAATTAAACACCGTCGGTATGCATTCGGAAACAAATTAACTATATATAGGATTCGAGTCTCATGCATCTACGCGGGAATCTTACGAATACAATGGGAGAACTACTTGTAGAGACATTTTTATTTGTGAGATTATGATCAGTCAGGAATATGAAATCCCAAAAAAACCTGAGACTCCCAAATGTTTAAAACTTTTGACTGCCCTTCCACAAGCTCACGCATTAATATGAATAAATAACAAGTGACCGCAAGGCAGACCGCACAGCGGAGCGCAGTGCTAACGCGTGCCAGCGGCTCCGCAGCAGCCTGCCTTCCCCGGGGCTCCGGTCGCCTCCGCGCGAGCTGGCGAGAACCAGATGGCGCCGCTAGGACGCGGAGTCCACGGCGGAACTTGAACTCGGAGCCTCTGGGGAGCAGGTGCCTTCCGCTCGTCACCCGTAGCTTCCCAATTAGGCCTGGCTTTCCGAAAAAACAGTCCGGAGAAAAGCGAGACGAACCCTACGTCCTTTGCGGAGAGAAACGAAGGCGGCTCCACCATCCTGTCCCGAGTCAAAGGCCGTTGACGCGTGAGTCTCCAGGCTCACAGAATAACCGCCAAGCCGCTGTGAAGGAGCGGAGGCGTGAAGCGATGTAGCTTTAAGGAAAAAAAAAACCTGCTTTTGAATAAAGAAACTTTATTTGTATGCGAGTAAATGCAAACAGTGGCTGGCTCGAAAACGAGGAGCTCTTCCGGGAACGAAGGCGGGGACAGCGGAGGGCGACGGGAGGCGCGGAATAAGGAAGCGAACGGAAGGCGGAAGCAGACAAGGACCGGGAGGTCCCTGGGCTTTGGGAGCGGAAGAGGTCGCGGCGCCGGGTCACGTGGCAGGGAGGTCACGTGGTCCCACAGCTCGGACCTCCTGCCTAGAGTTCTGTGCGCCTGCGCACTGCGGGCGCTGGGCTTGAACGCCTTTACCCGAGGCTTGCTTCTGCGAGCTGCGAGCTCCCGGCGACTGTACCTGTCCCTACAGTCCCACCGCGGACGCTCGCACCCTTGGCGCTTCCATCTTCTTTTCCCGTGGAGAGGTTAGTGCACTGCCTTTCGTAACACTGGTGTGGTCCGACACAGAGCTCTCTGCCGTGGTGCTGGAAGCCTCACAGATCACCCACAGATTTCGTCAGTACCGCTCAGACCCGACATCGCAGGCTGTGATCTTTGGTCCACTTAGCTGGAAGTGAAAACGCATTCAGTCAGCAAACACTTATTGACCCCATTTTTCAGCTAGGACACAGTGGCAGCTGCAAAAATGAATAAAGTCATTTTTAACTAAGGAATTGTAGGCATGCTCCCAAAGATTACCTTAGCATCACTTACCATTGAATCGTAGTTTAGCTGTAACCATTTTCTTAATTGATCTTTTTGCACTTAAATAGTAGAAACGTGCCCAAGGACTGAGTAGCTGCTTTGTTTCATTTTTTAAAAATGATTTTATTGATACATAATGATAACATTTACATGGAATTTGTACCTGTAGATGACATATCTTGATGCTTTTTTCTCATTCCCCTCCCCTCCCTCCAACTCCTCTTCCCCTCCTTACTTATAAAAGCTTTATTTGCATTTTTTCCTTCTATTCTCTTTTTTCTTTTTCCCCTTCCCCCTTCCTTATACACTTTCCCATTTGAACATTTTCCGATTTTTCAATATCCTTTATGCATTTTGGTCCTTATTTACACTTTTGATTTTTCACAACAGAAAAACAATGAGATATTTAAACTTGTGTGTCCGATTTATTTCACTGAAGAGAATGGGGAATGTAACTATCTTAACTATTTTGCATGTGTATCTTGCTTTTCTCTTCCTTTTCTCCTTTCCCCATCCCAGTTTCTCTTTCCTTTTAAAGTTTCTTCCCATTTCACAATATCTGTTGTACATTTTAGATCTGTTGTGCATTTTAGATCCTAGATCTCTTTCAGTTTCTCATACTAGGGAGACAATATGATGTTTACACATCCGAGTCTGATTTATTTCATTTATGAATGTGATCTCAAGTTACACCCATTTACCTAGAAATGTGTCGTTCATCTTCCTTTATAGCATAATAGTACTCTGTTTTATAAAGATACCACATCTTCTGTTTCCAACATTGAGCTGTTACAAACTGTGCTGCTATAAACGTGGCTGTGCATATATCACTGTGGTACAATGCTTTTAATTCTTTAGGAAAGATACCTAGAATCAGAAATGCCATGTCAAGTGGAACATCTACTGCTAGTTTTTGGAGGAATCTCCACACTGATTTCCACAGTGGTCACACTGGTCTATACTCCCACCAACAGTGAAGAGGAGTTCCATTTTCCCCCAGAGCACCACCAGCATTTGGTATTGGTTGATTTCTTGGTAATAGCCATTTGTTCTGGGGTGAGATGAAATACCAGTGTTGTTTTAATTTACATCTCTTGAAAGACTAGTGATGTTGAATATTTTTTCATATATTTATTTGCTTTTTCTATTAATTGAGCAGCGTCTAATCATTTCAGATGCCCAGATTTGGATTGCGTCTTTAAATTAGGGTGTCTGATTTTTTTTTTTTTTAGTTCTGTATGTATTTTAGATGTTAGCTGTTTGTCTAAGGCACAGCTGGCAAAAACCCGTGTTGTGGGTTGTTTCCTGGCTGTGCAAAAGCTTTTTAATAAGCCAAGATCCCTATTGTTGATTCTTCATATTTCTGGCAAGATTGGGGTTTGTTCATAAAGTTGTTGCCTACACTTTGTGTCTTCAAAAATTCTACCTAATGGGGCTGGAGGTTTGGCTCAGCGGCATAAGCACCTGCCTTGCAAGCAGGCAGTCGTGACAATCCCCGGTACCAATAAAAAGGAAAAAGACCAAAAAAAAGTTCTACATAATCTGTCTTCCAGCAGATTTAGTGTTTCTGTATTAATATTTAGATCTCTGATCTGTTTTGATTTTGGTTTAGTACATATAGTGAGAGGTGCAGGTCTAGATTTAATCTGAAGCATGTGGAAAGGCACTTTTTCCAGCACCATTTAAAAAGAGGCTGTCTTAGTTATTTTTTTGTCGCTGAGACAAAATATCTGATGCACAAAGTTGGGAAAGGAAAGGTTTATTTTTTATAGTTTGTAGAGGTTTTAGTCTATATTTAGCTGTCTCTAAGGCCGGGTGGCATGCCGGGGGCGAAGTTTACCGTGGCTGCTCTAACAGCAAGGAGGAAACCAGCAACAGGGCAAGACATGCCTTTTTTTGCCATTACATCACATCTTGGCTCCACCAGTGTAACACTCACTCCCCCAGTCTTAAGCACTAGACAGTAAACCAATCACAGATGCATAATGCAAAGGCATGAGGCTTGGGGGCCACCAACATAAACCTTAACAGAGGCTTTCTTCCAGTGAAGGTGTTTGACCACTTATCCAAGATAAGGAGGCTAAATGTATTTAGTTATTCTATATTTTCTAGTCTATTCCATTGATCCTCAGATCTGTTTTGTTTTGGGTTTTGCCAGTACCATACTGCTTTTTATCATGGTAGCTGTGTTAACTTACTTTTCTCATTGCTGAGACAGAATAACCAAAACCCAAAGTTAAAGAAGAAAGGTTTATTTAGCTGACAGTTTGTAGAGGTTCAATCAATAAACAGATGGCTCCAAGAGAGGACGGTACATGGCAAAAGGGCAGTGGTTCCCGAAAATGAAGGACAACAGAAACAACAAGGAGGAAACACAAGCCTCTTTCTTCCCTTGTATTATAGACAGGCTACCTGCCCTAGCGAGGGTATAGCACTCACACCCTTAATCCTAGGCAGAATTAAAACAGACCAATCATTGGGTTGATTTACTAATCACACACTGTTAATCCCAGCATCACACACATCTAGATTCAGCCACCCCTGGAAGAGCCCCATGTAAGACTGCGTGAAACTAAGACTGTGTGAAACTTTGGAGGGACAACTAAATACAAACCATAACAGTAGATTTTTAGTATAGTTGCAAGTCAGGAGCTGGATGTGGTGGCACACACCTGTAATCCCAGCACTTGGAAGGCTGAAACAGAAACATTGGTGCAAGTTTGAGACCAGCCTGGACTACAAAGTGAGTTCACAGCCCAACCTGAACTGCATAACAAAACCCTGTCTCAAAACAATTGTTATTTCAAGTCAGGCACTGTGATGCCCCTGGCTTGCCCTTTTTTGCTCAGAATTGCTTTTGCTATTGCAGGTCTCTTCAGATTTCAAATAAGTTTTAGGATTGTTTTCCCTAATTGTATAAAGGATGCTGTTGATGCTTTAATTGGGATTCCATAATTAAATCAGTATGGTCATTTTGACTTTCTTGGTTCTTCCTACATAAGAACAAGGAATAGCTTTTTGTTTTCTGATATCCTCTTCAATCTCTTTTCAGAGTACTTCACTTTTCATTGTAAAGGTCTTTTACTTCCTTTGTTAAATTGATTCCTGAATATTTCAGTTTTTCTGATGCTGTTGTGAGGAGGTGGTTTCCCTAATTTTTTTCTCACTAAGTTTATTTGTGTAGAAGAATGCTATTGATTTTTGAGTGTTGACTTTGTATCCAGCTATGCCCCTGAATTTGGTTATTAAATCGACATTTATTGGTGGAATTTTGAGGGTGTTCTATGCATAGAATCATGTTATCTGCAAATAATGATAATTTAATTTCTTCCTTTCCTATCCTATTTGTTTTTTTTTTCTCTTGTCTAATTGCTAATGTTTGGCTAATGTTTTTTTTTTTTCCTCTTGTCTAATTGCTAATGTCTGGCTAATGTTTCCAGAACTGTGTGTGATATTATACATCCTTGTCTTGTTCCTGATTTTAGAATGAAAGTTTTCATTTTTTGACCATTTAGCATGATATTGGTTGTTGGTTTGTCATAGAAGTTAAAGTAGTTATACTACTGATTTCTGTAGTAAATTCACTGAAGAGAAAAGTTTGTTCTAGTATTGTTTGGACAGTTAAATGCAGATATCTTGTACTCTGAGTAATTGATCTGAAAATAACAATATGCAATGTATATTGTTACCCCCTAACTATTGTGTTTTGAAATTTTGGTTTTATTTTTTTCTCTTTAAAATAAAATAAATTTGTCATAGATAGCTTTTATTAGGTTGAGATAAAGACCATCTATTCCAATTTTCTGTTGGTTTTTTTTAATGGGTGTTGCACTTTGTCAAATGCTTTTTCTATATCTATTGAGATGGTTATGTGGTTTTTTTTGTCCTTGGCTCTCACTTAGTATGGAGTATTATATTTATTGATTTGTGTATGTTGAAGTATCCCTGCATCCCTGAGATGAATTCTACATGGTCATTGTGTATAATTTTCTTGATGATTTTCTGTATTCTGCTTACCAGTGTCTTCCTGAGGATTTTTCCATGTATATTCATTTGGGAGATTGGTCTTAGCTCTTTGGGGGAGGGGGGATGGAACCTTCCTTGGTTTTGATATCAGGGTAATGCATG